TGAAGATAAAATAGAAGGAAGGACTGCTGGAACTGACTTCCTGTTTGAAAACAACATCCCTTTGGTTTTGTTGGCATTTAGTACCAGTTTGAGACCAACAACATCCATTAAAAATGTGAGAAATGGGCTCAAATTGATTGAAGCCAGAAGGGACAAAGATGGAGGGGTCAGCTGTAGAGTAAGACCTGGTTGCCTCAACCTTTTCAACAAAATATCTGATAAAATCATCACAAGTGTCTACAGAGGCCTCCATGCTGGCAGACTGAGGCATGTTTATAGTGCTAAGTCACAATAGAAATTGTCTCAGGGCACTGCATTCACTTACATACACAGCCAATTAGTAAAAGTTATCTATGTAAGGGAGCATTGAATCTTCACTCTGTCTCAGTCTCCCATCCTGAGCAAGCACAATGGCAACAGTGGAAAGGAAAAACTCCCTCTTAACAACTAAAACTAACAAACTCCCTTTTTAAAAAACCTCCATCAGAATTAGGCTCAGGACGAGCTGAGCAGTCATCTGCTTCGACTGGCCCCGAGTTTGAGAACAGTAGAAAAGAAAAGAACAAAACAAAATGTTGTAAAAAGACGTGAATGTTCATGTAAAATAAATAAATAAGAAAAATTTGATGCACTTCAAGTTCAAGTTCCTTTACTGCCATTCGCATCACATGTGGTACATAAGGTGGAAAAAAATTGTGCAAAATCTAAAATAAAAATAAATTCTAAAATCTAAAAAAACTACTTAAAATTTACAAGTATATACCTGCTCTTTAAAGGATTTGCTGCAATTTATTTTTTGTGGGCTTATGCAGCCATGCTTACAGCTGCTTCCCAATCTGGCATAGTAAAACCTAAATAGTCCATTATGACTGGAAATATTGTTACATTTAATATTGTTTTAAACATTTAAATAAGGTTAGAAGTAAATTGATGAAAGTAGATCAAGAAAAAAAAAAACACATGATTGTTCTGTCAGTAGTTGACTTTGTTCACGTGTACATTTCAATTAAAGTTTTTTTGAAGCGACCCTTCACTGTCATCCGGGTCTCTTAGACGTCATGTCGCGCATGCGCCCTTTCCCACTGTGGTTCGTCCTCTGCAGTCGGTAAGTCTGTAATGGCAGTTTGAATGAGAAGCGTACCTTCATAAATCCTTATTCATCTTTGTCTTATAGCTTCACCTTGCACTGCACAAGTGAGGATAGCGTGCAGAATAGATTTCAATGTATATCCGAATGCCTTTATTTTCTCTGTGGAGCATTTTTACACCTGTTTGACCTTAATTGTCTTTTTCTTCCTCCAGAGAGACCCGGGCTTCAGCCAGATTTGATCAAACCGGTTAAAACTACCTAAAATACAAGATGTACGCCTGTGCAAAGTTTGTTTCCACACCGGCTGTGGTGAGTTTGTTCTCCTTTCTGTGTTTCCGAGTTTGTAAATATGAGTTAGAATTACTAATATATCCGGTGGGCCTCTGGTCGAACTTGACTAGCTTATTTGCAAGGGTATTCGCAGACTAGGCCAGCGGGTTAGCCTGCAGCTAATGCTAACATTTTAATGAAACAAACCTTTTCACAATGAAAACGTAACTTTATTGTTCGTAAAAAAAGGTGCATGTCGATTATTAAGCGAATTGCTGCTTTACTTTTGCTTCAAATTTCAACAGACAGCTAATGCTGTTAGCTAAGGTCAAACACTTAGCCGAGATTAGCTCGGCGTTCAGAAAATAGTTATCACAGGCCAGTGCATTAATTAATAATTGTTCATGACTGTTCATTTAGTCTGTACTAATTTATACATGTATGTAGCTCAGTGTTGACTGTTTCCAAGGTCATTTTATCAGCTGCAGATTTTCAAACTATGCGTTCTGCAATAGTAAGAAACCAGAGTTGCAAATCTTTATCTAATAATTGCACAATAGGTTAATGAAACTAATCACAAGTTGTTTGTTTTTTTACGTTTTAAGTTTTACTGACATCACTGAATGCTACAGGTGTCTGAGTGAATGAATTATGCTGATTGACAGTGACATTCAAGGTGCCTTTCACATGCTCGTTTGTGTACATGGGATCTGACAACGGAATCAAGTCTTATAAAACGTTTGTTTCATTTTATAATTTAACCCTTTTCTCTTGTTGTTTTCTTATTGTTGTTGCAGGTCCGTGCTGGTTCCCGGGCTCTTTACAGACCCCTGTCAGCCTCTGTGCTGTCCAGGCCTGAAGCCCAAACAGAGGTGAGAATTGCACGCTTTGCACAGAATAACTTTTTTACTAAACATATGTTAAGAAGGAATTTTATTTTATTGTTAATTTTAAAAATGACGTATGAAGTTACAGACTGCTTGCCTAATTCTAAATTCCTAAAGCAATAAAATAAAAAGATGCATCAGAAATTAGAATCTGTTTTAAGGCCTGTTTGTTGTTCCATTGATTTTTATTTATTTATTTATTAAACTACAGATATAAAGTTCTCTTTTTGTATATTGTTTTACAAGTTTTGAATGTTAATTTTAAAAGCTAACATGGGCTCTTGCTCAGTTATCAAAAGGTTTTGTTTGTCATGTTTTTCTAGCATTATTCTGTATATCAGCTCATGGTGTTAATCATGTTTCAGAACTTTTAAATAAACGTGAATGTTTATTTTATTGTTTCTGTTTTTGATGCAGAGCACTGTTGCTGTGATGCCACAGAACCACCTTACTCAGGTCACACTGAGAGGCTTCCAGACCAGCGCCATCAGCAGGGACATTGACACTGCCGCCAAGTTTATTGGTGCTGGAGCTGCCACTGTTGGAGTTGCTGGATCTGGTGCTGGAATTGGGACAGTGTTCGGTAGTCTCATCATTGGCTATGCCAGGTTTGTTTTAATTTTGTCACAATATATCCATAAAACTGTTCACACATTTCTTGTTGGATTCATTTGTAACTCTTTGTTTTCAGGAACCCATCTCTGAAACAGCAGCTGTTCTCATATGCCATCCTGGGATTTGCCCTGTCTGAAGCTATGGGACTCTTCTGTTTGATGGTTGCTTTCCTTATTCTGTTTGCTATGTAAAACTGCCCTTACAACACTTTAATTACAGTTGTGACTAAATATTTTCTTGTGGCTACCAATAATGTTCCGTCTTGGTGTCATGGAAATGTACATTTTTCAAGTCTTTCAGACACAGTCAAAAAAAGCAAATCATGTATTGTAAAAACGAAAGATCTTACACAATTAAAATACATGTATTTGACTATTTAATGTTGGCAGTAACTTTTATGTCCGAAACATCACAACAGAAATTGTTTGGCTTTTCATGGATGTCATATTAAAAAAGCTGCTTAGAGTGAACACAAGTTAGCTCAACTTATTTAGCTGCAGGTTAAGCACTTATCAGCAAAACAGTGGCTTTTGTAAATGACACTGAATAAATTCTAGTGATTTACTGAAGTGAAATTTGTTCTTTTCAATCACCAAGCTGCTCTGAAAGGCTAAATTTATTTTAAAATGATACATTAATGTTATAAGGCACTTATGGAAAACTTCCCATTTAATATTTTTTGATAGTGGAAAAAGACAGGTGGTTTGCAAAAGTGATTTAGGGAACCTCACTGGGTTATGAAACGCTTGAGTGGTCGTAAGAAGCTACACATTAAAGCTCTTTACAATAATTGACAGTAATGTAGCCTTAACTGTTAAACTGGTTGCTGGTCATAGTTAATGACATGGTTGAAAATGTTTTTAGCAATGTGTTGTGCTTAAACCAGCAATAGTTGTGGGTATAGCTGCAACATATGGATTAAATCTCAATCACTGAGGTAGAGCATGCCATCTTCAGCACAATGGGAAAGTTTTTATTGTACAAAGTACTTCAATGTGGCTGGTGGTGATTTAATCTGTTGAGTCAAGTTCTCGGAAGTACACAAGCAAATGGATGAGTGAATTTTCATCTGAAACAAATGCTTCATGGTTCAATTGGAATGCTTTGTAATATTTTAAAATGCTGCTTTTTGCATCAGCATTTTTTTTAGTTTTTACACAAACGCCTGGAAATTTACACTGTTGGAACTGTCAATGGGAAGAGATCTGGACATTTAAGTACCGGTATCGCTAAACTCAGGTTTCTGGATGCTGCAGTACTGTTGTTTCTGGAGCGAAGCAGGCTGTTCCATGGATGAAAGTCACCTACACAACCGCTCGCAATCATGGTGTTTTATAGGCATCAAATAACTACAACTAAACATGTTGGAGAATATGTATTTGAACATAAAGTGAGGCCGGAACTAAAAGTCAGATGTAAGCGCCTGGAGAAATATTTTTTAACTATCTTTCAAGCAAATATTTGCTTAAAGGTCTGCATTCCTGTCTATAAATGTCAATAGTTGGAAGATACTCTTCAGTTGTTGAAATCAAAACTGATCATACCCAGTGGTTAAAAAAAGGCATCACTTAATGGTTTTGTAGTTTTAGTTAATAGTTTATTCTGAGATGAGCCCATGATTTATCTGATAACGCCATAATTCTTCAAATTGATGTCTGCTACTGGTAGATACCTGCTACTTAGAAATGCTGCAAGAGCCTCAGTTAAAAATTTTACTTCATTATGTGAGGGCATACATTTTGAAGCATGTCACTCTAAAAATAGGGAGATGATTTAAGGTAAAAGGTTAATCTAAATTTGCTTTACTGAAATTCATGTATAAATAGCAAGAGTTTATTAATTGCCATTCATAATAGGTACTTCAACAATGCAGTGTTTACTTTTGTGTTTTTCAGTGGTTTTACTTAATGGTGAGTAACCAAACTTGCAGAGCTTTAAGCTGGTTATGTTCATTAAGAAAATTTGATACTTGCTTTGTAATTAAGTTACAAATGTGTATATAATACGGAAAAAAAAATCCCGAATTGTGGTAAATGTACTAAATGTGCTTTTAAATTGTAGTTTAGATGGTCAAAAAGTTGCTTCCGGTAATCCCGTCTGAATGTAGCTTTTACGGAAGTCCAAGTCTCGCGATATTTGGGAACAGTCGTGGGATTTTAGAAATCAGGTTGGTGGCTAAAAGGTAAGTGACAGCATAAGCTGATAACAACTGTGCGGGATGCTGTGGTATAAATACATCATTTGTGTAACTGTGAAGTATTCGCGTTTTCGTGCAGTAAAATAACTCCGAAAAAACCGTTGACAGGTTTTGTGTTTACAGCGATATTTGGGTCCTAATATGGCGACGCTTGTGCGATAACGCAGGGCTCAGGCTATTACATGATGGAAGCGAGTAAATTCCCTCTTCTGTAGCCTCAGAGCTTTTTTTTTGTGGTCTTTGGTTTTCTTTATAAACTAGACTCATACAGCCTATAGAATATATATTAGTGGGTTGTCTGAATAGAAATATCTGAATGTTTTTCATGAGAGCGTCGAGGTGTAAACAACCACAGAAACCGCCCCTCATCGAAAGGCTTTGTCCAGATGTTACCTGACCCCTCCTGGAGCTTTCACCTTTACAGCAAAGTCCATTTTTATTTGCTTATTACTGTCAGTCTTAGACGTTTGCACGTGTCTTAATGTCATAAACAAAACGATTTTTCCTCAGCAAGGAGGAAAAGTTAAATCTGTAAAAAGAATAAATAAATAAAGCCTCTGATCTTTGAACCTGTTTTTGTTTTATTTTAGGACAAAGTAACTGGAATTAATTAATATGAGTGATGACAAACCTTTCCAATGCACTGCTCCTGGATGTGGACAGGTAAGTTATCATAGGTTAAGTAATACATTTTTATTATTTAAAAATTAACATATTTTAAAATCGCTTGTTCATTTTATAATGCCAGAAAATACACATTTGGATGCAAGTGTTTTATGTTAATATATATTAAATGCATAAAATTATCATATAATCCATTCAATAGATGTTATATGTCAAAAAGAACTACTCATTTAATTAAAAAAATTTTTTTCAAATTGAAAATCTTCTCAAATGACATGAATATGACCACTGATCATTGCTGCAGTTACACTTTATTTTACTTATCGGCTGGAATATCTTTGCTGTAGTACGTATTTAGGGTTTAATGGGAGATTTCTTGCAGCATGATTCAAGCTTTCCTTCTTTCTGACTTCAAAAATTAATCTGCATTTATAGAACAACCACTATTTAAAGTATTTATTTAAAGTCTTGTGCTATGTTATGTCTTGTTTCAAAAATTTAATTTGATCAAACCTGAAACTGAGCAAAAAGATGTGGCAAAAGTAAAGTGAAGTTTTATGCATGTGCAACCATGCACACACACACCCCACTATTAGTGTTAGTGTATTTCTTAGTTTATATCTTGGCTCCTTATTACTGTTTCTTTTACAATTTATTTTTTGGCTGTTGTTGGATGTAACTGTACACAATTTTGTTCCACCTCTTGTACCACATGTGACGCGAATGACAATAAACCTTGATGCACAAATCCATCACACTATATATATATATATATATATATATATGTAAAACTGCTGACTTTGATCAAGGTTTTTTGCTATGTTTTACTCACTGATGTCATTGGACAGGACACAATAAAACAAATTTGTTTTTTAACCTACTAAATGTGGTAAAAGACAGTAATGCTATTTAAATAAATGTCTTAGTAATGACTTATAAACATGGAACTCCAATTCTTTTGTCAATAATGAATCATCCTTTTTGATAAGTTGAAACAAATTCAAGGAGCAAAAAAACAAAGTCCAGTCACCTTAAAAAATAATAATAATAATAATAAACTAGGATTGCCATGTCCCTGATGCATAAAAAAATCTACAACAATATATTCAAATAAAATTCACAAAGGAAGAACTGAAAAATGGTCCTTGTTTGTTGCTGTTATGAAAAACGTTAAGTGTGAACTGTTCACTTACAGTATTTACACTTTTTCTTGATGCATGCTCAATAATCCAGGTAGAAAAATCCAAAAAAGTTCAATCTGGTCCTCTGGACATTCAAAAAAACAAAAGCAAAACAAAGCAAAAAAAATTCTAGAAACGTTTCGTCTCTCATCCAAGAGACTCAGACTGAGGAAATCTCTTGGATGAGAGACGAAACGTTTCTAGAATTTCCTGATGCATGCTTGTTTCTAGAATTTTTTTTGCTTTGTTTTGCTTTTGTTTTTTTGAATGTCCAGAGGACCAGATTGAACTTTTTTGGATATTTACACTTTTATAGCGTATCATCTGACGTTATTGGTTTGTATTTTTATTTCCTAAATAGAGATTCACAAATGAAGACCACTTGGCTGTCCACAAACACAAACATGAGATGACACTGAAATTTGGCCCAGCAAGAAATGACAATAATATTATCGCTGGTAAGTTGTCTTCAGGTTGGGATTGGTAGATCTGACTATTGTTTTATACTATTTGATACATTTAATTGTTTTTTTTCTCTTGCAGACCAAACTCCTACACCCACCCGCTTTTTGAAGAATTGTGAAGAAGTTGGGCTCTTCAATGAACTTGCGAGTCCTTTTGATCATGACTTCAAAAAAGCAGCTGAAGATGACATTAAAAAGGTGTCCCTTGTTGTTAAACCTGTCTGATCTCTTGTGTTCATTCGTTTGCTGAACTGTTCTTGTTGTCATCTCTCTGCAGTTACCTCTGGATTTGTCACCTCTTGCTACACCCATTATACGCAACAAAATTGAGGAACCCCCAGCTATCGATGCACATAGAGATAGTCCTCTGCCTCACCCTGAGTCGACAACAAATGATGAGAAGGTATGAGCTCTTTATACTCACCCCTTGTTGTTTTTGGTGACAAAGTTATAATGAGCGATGCTATTTTGTGTTTTTATGAACTGCTTTAAATTACTCATGAATTTGCAGATTTACTGCTATGATTAGAAATTCACATTACGTTTGAGGTCAGTTTGGTTTAATTGTTCCCCGCCCATCGCGGCGCAAATGGAATTGTAGTGGTGGACATGTGAAGCCTCATGAAGCACTGTGACTTTTCTTGCATTTGACATGACGCTCACAGTAAGATTGCTCTGCCCACGTGGAAATGTAACCCAGGGTGAGCTAACCTTCAACAAATAAACAAGATAACTGTAACGGAGGAGGTGATGCTCACGACTTTACCTGAGACATTTAATGTGGCATTTTTGCCTTATCAGCCAACATCAAGACAAAAAAGACAGGCAAAAAAATGTCCAAGATACCAATAATTTAAAATGGTTACTGCAGTAGTTTTCATTCCGCATAACGACTCATGGCAAGAATTTACAGTGAAATTCAGTATTGCAAGGAGTGTAAACTACATTGCACAACCTATCAAACACTTTGTGGAAAATCGGTTTAGTGTTAACTGATCATAGCCAACAAAGACTAAACTTGTGCAACCTGAAGTTGCAACATATACAAATACAACCACACAAAGCAAAGCACAACTAGCTTTAAGCATTAACCTTTAATTTAACTAATTATGACAAAAAATGGAAGATTTACTTGCAGTTACATTCGTATAGACAAACGTGGTACTTCCTGTTTATCACTGTTGTATTCAGCTACTCATTACCGGCCGCCGGACGTTATCCATCTTTTACGTTTCTTTAGACTCAGTTTAGGTTTTGGAAATGGAATAAACTGTATTCTGTATTTTAAACATTCGGGGTAACACATGTCTGAATTGCATGTTCCCCACTGACATTTAACCATTTTTATGATGATTTAAGTGTTAGTAATGCAAAATCCCAACAATGTTGTTGAAGGAAAATGGGGTGCACGTCCTGCAGGTAAGGGGCATTTCACTTTGATACAACTTGTTATCGCTGATTAGTCAGTTACTGACAAGCCTTCTGGATTGATTGACAGGTGACATCATGTCAATTGTACAGAAAAAGATTGTTTCAAGGCTTCAGTGATAGAGACATCTGGTGGACAAATGGAGCCATAACACCCTCACAAGCGCAACTGACTGTTTCAATCTCATGTCAGCAAATAAAGTTTACAAAAAGACTGGTCAAGCATATGTTTAGTAAATTTGTACAAAATAATGATTATCTCTCCATTAAACATTAAAAATAAAAAAATGTTTTAGACACTTAGAAGTACAACAAAGTTCTTTGTTAAAAAATTTAAGCGTGTGTGTGTGTCTCAGCATAGCTGATGTGTTATTGCTGTAAAACAAGTCCTGTGTACAATGCAAACACCTACAAATAATTGTAATTTTGAGACCCATTTAAAAAAGAAAAATACAATTATCAAAACATTACTTGTAGGTTTTAGGGAACACTATGCTTTATTTGGTGGAATAAGATTAAATATATCCCAAACCTTTGAAAGCATTTTACTGAAAATCTCCAAACTTCCTTATGATTTACTTTCTGAAATCCTATCTCCTCACAACCCAACATTTATTAGGAATAATGATGCATCTTAAATATCTTATGTAGAATCAAAGCATTCAAAACTGTAAAACTGTGATTGGCTCAGAATGCATTGAAACTTTCTGAGCCAATATAGAGCGAAATGAAGCAGTGATGACGTCTGAAGCTCCGAACGTCACGTGATGGTGGTGGACACAGTGTTATGAATCACTCTGCTTCACGAAGAGTGTTACAAGCTACGAAGTATTGTTATCATTTCCCCATCACTAGAGAATTGGCAATAGCCTCCGTCCATTCATGCATCCGTGTTGTGAGCAAGATGGCTTGAAATGAGTGAAATACTAACTTCCATTTTGGCATGTGGCTGCAAACAGTATAGTCATAAGAAAAGTCACTACATGTCAAAATCCAAGGTTGCTGCCGCCATATGTGTGTATATATATTCATCTTTTTGAGCTGGATAACTTGAAAAAGAGGTAAGATGTCAACATCCATTTGGTGTGTGGCTGCATCTATGTAAAAAAGGTCCCTATCAAAAATTGGGTTGCTATGTCAAAATCCAACCTGGCCACGTTGTGGTGGATAAAATTGCTCAATCCACTCACCATGATCTGCTACCTTGGACAAGAAAAAATAACTACCTCTGTTCTTATACACAGTGTAACTCCTACCCATTTGAATGTCTTCCACCAAAAACACCAAGGTTCACCTGTATTCCCTGTTCAGTTCCAATCTAGAAAAAAACACTTGTCTCAAAAACTACAAAAAAATCACAATTCAAACCCCTCGGGGATGGGGGACTTTGGTGTAACGCTTGTTTTGGTTTACTTCTGAAGCAATATACATACAAACTGTATGTGTCTTGACTTTGCTGGGGACAAAAATGTATTTTAACCCCTCATGGTAAAGAAAGAGTGAAGCAGCAGCGCTGTACATTAGCGGTAAATAAATACATGATCATATGTCGATGGAGCCCTCCTGCAGCTAAGGTCTTGTATGATGTTTTCAGGACTTGTCTTTGCAGCCAGCCTCACTGCCAACATCTACTATAGTCCACCCTGCATCCCTTCAAGTTCCCAATGTACTTCTAGCAACTACAGAGGCTAATGTTGTAATACAGCAAGCTCTCCCATCGCCAACATCTAGCTCTGTTATTACCCAAGTCCCATCCACTAATAGACCTATAGTGTAAGTAACTTAATGCGTCCATTTAAAAAAAATAAAGAAATATGTAGTTGTTATGAAGTCATGGTTTCTTTTTTTAAATCATTTGTTCAGTTTTTTGGTTCTGAGCTTGTACTTTTTAAGGCATGTGCTTGTTTGTTTTTCATGTAGCTTTGGTCTGCGGGAAGTTTTTAAGTTGCATTCAACGTATGTTCTGTTAAAAACAAAATAATAATCAGCATTGCTCCAAATATACAGTGTTTGTTAAAACTGTCATTAAAAATGTTTTTTTTTTACATGATAATTTCTGTTAAGCATAACTCAAGGGCCGTATTTAAGCTCGGAACACTAAATAAACCAAATAAATGTATAATATAAATGCAAAACTGTTTTTCACAAGTGAATCTTACTGATGAAATGAACCGCATGTTGGAATATCATCAAAGCCGTGCATTGCATTTATCATCACTGAAATATCAGCTGCTTGTCACACCAGAACTCAGGTTTAATAGAGATTCTATTTTTTTTTGCACCTTTGTAGCATGCATTTGATTTGGTATAATTTAAAATGTGCAAAAATCATATTGCAACAAGGGTACAACACTGTATATGAGCAATACTGATGTCACATATCAGGTTTCATGTGACGGTATGGTTTGTTCTTATGTTTATATTCTTTTGATTTGTCCAAAAAATAATTTTTTCTCATTTTGAGTGTTTTTAAAAGCAACTGCATTTGTTTGAATGCTTATTTTTCATCATTTGTCATCAAAGTACAACATAATGAATGCACTCTTGCATTTTCTTTATTTTTAATATATTGTCACCAATTTGAGGAGTTGTTCCAGATTTGTTATCATAATCATGATTTCTTTTTGTTCCTGTTTCAGCCCGGTGTCTGGCACCTTCCCTGTGCTCTTACAGTTGCCTAATGGCCAGACCATGCCAGTTGCTATACCTGCGTCCATTACGAGCTCGAGTGTACATATTCCAACTACGATCCCTGTGAGTGTTCGACTCAGAATGTTTTCTCAACCTTTTGTTTTTATGTGTTAGACTGGACATAGACATTTATTTTGCTGTATTATATTAGAATGTAGCTTCTGTTTTTCTGCGTTTTGTGCAAAATATCCAATGACATTTATTCATCTAAACCCAGTGGAATTACCAGCAGATAATAATAATAATAATAATAATAATAATTGTTTTATTGTTATATTTGATTTGGTAGATATTTTTAGCATATCACACAGTCTTCTCAGGAAGTTTTATTTTGCCCAGTTGCCGACTCTGATTTTATGAAGTAATTTTAGCAATTGTGCATTTTAAAGCTGGACCACGCATACTCTGAGTCAGCCATGTAAAATTTTGCACATTAGTAAAACTAATTTTCTGATATCTATATTGCATTTAGACTGTAGGATAACAATGCACGTTCCTTTGCTCTGGTTAAACAAAAGAAATGTGTCATCTTTGCTTTTTTGATGTTGGATTTCAAAGTTTAGTGCGAGTGCAAAAACAGGCTTGCAAAACAACAATGAACAACTGTGGCAGAGACACAACATTGAGCTTCAGGGTGCAGGCATCTGGCCAGGATTATTTACTTGTAAAAACAAATACTTTAAGTAATCTCTATTACAGGTAGTGTTGATAGAATATACTTGTGTTTTGGAAACTGTAAGTCTTGAAAGTGTCTCGTACAGTAAATTAAGGTGTAGTTGATATTATGTGAACTCGTTTCTTGTGCACTGTTTGTGGGGAACACTGAGCAGCAGATGATTATCCCTTGATGTCTGCACAGCATTACAAACCCTTAATCTCCACAGTCTTTTAGGGTAAAGAACACATTTGAGTAGTAAGGGAGGACTGAAGAAGATAAAACAAACCTTAGCCACCAGTGGGTTTCCCTTTCCCTCTGTCATCCCTTCCTTTTTTACTTACCCCATCTCCCTCTTATTGTCTTGTCAATGGCTGTGAAGAGAGGCCTGAATCTGGCCTTTGGACTCGTGTCTCTCCATCCTCTCCTCAGTTTCCCTGTCCATATGCTCTCACTCAGCCAGGCAGAGGTTCATTAGCGTGCGCACTGCATCTCCATGTGGCGCTGCCTCCGCAAAATAACAGGCTATCCAACCTAATGAGGCTGAGATATGGGGAAACTATGAGCCTGCCATAGCTGTGTGTGTTTGTGTTATGGGGTGCGGGGTGAATCCTGCCTTTTCTATGGCTGAAGACTTATTTTTTGTGATCTGATCTGCCTCTGTGTCTCTGTTGTCAGCTTGTCAGACCTGTCACCGTAGTGCCTACCGTTCCTGGAATCCCCGGACCGCCCTCGCCACAACCTCAGCCCATCCAAACAGAAGCAAAGCTGGTATTTATTATCTTATTTACACCAAGTATCATTTCCATGTTCTCTGTTAGTTCTCATTTGAGGGAGATGATAACAACTAAGGAAATGAGAGAGTTTGGTGATAAGGGAATAATAAATACGATAAGCCTTTTTTTTCCCTAATAAAATTTTAGTTGCCTCTTTCATTAATCAACTTCCTATCCGCAGCTGCAGTTAATGTAGTCTAATATTAATTTTAGAAAATAGTCTACATTCCAGTCAAAAGTATAAATTATCATTAGCAGTAGCCCTACAAATATGATAAAATGAGGGATTCAATTAGATCATTTTTAGCTTGAATGGCTATTGCTGGTGTCCAACACCATTGTTAATGCTCAAATATTTTTATAATTGACATGGCAGTACAGACAGCCACACAAACATGTATTTAGTGGAGCAATATTTTTGTTATAAATTAAAAAAAATAATAAAATACACGCACTCAGTTTGTCATGTGTAATTTAAAAGTAAGTTGTTGAGGTACGGAAGCCTAAAAATGTAAGCACACAGTTTTTCTAATTCCTGAAGGTGTGAAATGGTTGAACGTGTCTAGTTTGACAAAGACAACAAAGGCAAGTGGCTAAAGTAAATGCTAAGATACAAGGCGACAATCTTTACTTCTTTTCTCCAGTATTAAAAAAGAACAGTAGTTTTCATTATAAGCAAAACTGTTGAATTCCTAGCTCTTGTAATTTGACGCGTCAACTAATCTGAGTTTATGTAATGTATGGACCAGGGATTAAGTCGTGTTTAGTCAAACTAAACTAAGCACATTTTCAAATTCCTGGCTTTTTAAGCTACATTTTGTAACCTCGATCTTCAGTACCATATTTTCCCCTGTACATGACGCCGCCCTATAAGTCGCATCAGTCCAAATATGTCTAATAAAGTGGAAAAATCCATAAATATCGCTTCGCCGTATACATGGCATCTATTGTGTGTCACTACTGATGCGTCACGTTTGTTACACGTCAACGCTGACAATCCCGAAGCGTGAGCCGAACCCGGAAATGTGGGCCGGTGTTGTGCCAAAAATCATTGGGCTGCCAAATGGCGGAAGCATGCACAGGAGGATTTTAACAAGAATTTAACAAGATTAACACTTAAAAACAATTATTTGTTTGCTTGAAATTATAGTAAATGTGTGTCTCAGTCTACCTTTTGTTTAATAAATGCACTTTGATGGTCAAATCAGATGCATTTTTAAAAGCCGATACGCGAAAACATGAACGGACAGAGGGCGACTCGGTGTCCATTTATTCGAAATTTAACAAGATAAACACCTAAAACAATTATTTGTTAGCTCAAAATTATGGTATGGTATGGTATAAAGTTTATTCATTTTAAAAAATACAAAACAATTCCATAACATTATAAAAAAATACAAGAGATTTAAAATGAAAGGCAGCAGAAAGAAGAAAAAAAAATCTTATTATGTCTGCCCCTTTTTTCAAACACTTAGCTCAATCATAATAATCTTCAAGTAACAGAACAAAATGAATAACTCTTTTTTAATTTTTCTAATTCTAATACAAAAAACACACTAAGCTACTTCATATATATTTTTTTAACAATCCAGCTTTGATCTTTTTCTTAAATGTTCACATTGACTTGGCATTTTTAACATCACTCTCTAGACCATTCCGCAATCCAATTGCTCCAGGCAGACAACGGTGGCAGTATATGGCAAGTCAATTGTGTCATTACTAGCCACGTTTACCTATTACATGATACAACGGCATGCCTTACTACTTGACTGCCATCTAGTGGCTGAAAATGGTGGTGTTCAAATTTTTTTTTTCAGTCAGAATAAATGAAAACGGTCATATCTCAATCAAAAATTGGTTTATAAATATGGGGAAAAAATCCATAAAAACTTTGCTTTGACCTATAAATCGCAGGGCTTGCAAATTATGCAAAAAAAAACACAACTCATAGGGCGAAAAATACAGTATATCATGAGCAGTTCCAGAAATAGCTTGATTTGTCTCTGAAATACTTCTCGAAAAGCATTCTGAGTCCAAATTGTATCATATTCTTATGAGTATTTGTTGATGTCATTTGAAAGAGGAAACCTTAAACCATATCTCAATATTGGTATTCCCAACTGGTATTGAAAACAACTTTGCAAGCAGCAGGAAAGTAGCAAACAATTCAGGCTTTTCCGCTCAAAATTATAGTTAGCACTGCTTCAAAACAACAAAGTGTTTCAAAACATTTTTTAGGATTGTATTTTTGGCATTTCCATAAAGGTATTTATTCATCGTATTTTGGACAAAATCCAAAAATTATTATTTTTTTGTCCGTGCACTATGGCTGTGTGTCCCTATATCACCTAGCAACTTAATCCTCGGTTCGATGGGTTGCATATTAAAAAAATGTAAAGTGCTTTGTGTTGTTTTATATCTTACTTATGGTGTTTGCTCCATTTTAGCACCAAGGCAGCAGCAGTTCGTTTTGCAAAAGACATTGGAAAATATGTTGTAGTTGCAAACACTGCTTTTTTGTTAGATTTCTTATACACAGGAACAAAGTTCTATAATTTGTGCTAATTTTGCTAAATACAATGGATATTTACTGTCAACAATTTTTTTAAAGTGTGCATTTTAATATTCAGATATGAGTTAGGGTTAGAAATTGGCAATGTCCACAAAAGTTGTGCCAAAAACTTGTCTACATACGACACCGTGGGGCGAGCAGAGTCCCAGCAGTCATGTTGTTCTGCATTAAAAGTGATCGTTGGAGGGCTGAGATATGAAGTGGCAGGAGGAGGATCAGTGGCAAGGTGATGAAGCACGGATCACAGAATCCGTAAGTGCTCGCAGCATGCTCTGCCTGTAGAAATTATCGGCTAAACAGCAAAGATGTGTGTGTGTGTGTTGATAGGGAACAATTGATCCTGACTGCTGAGGAGAGAGGATGGGAGGGGCAGGGATTTGTTGAAGATCACAGGGTGCAGAGTTGACAAACGCAGTGACATCGTTGTGCTCAGCACGCCGTCACCAGGGCCAACCTGAGGGGAGGGAGTGGGGGCAACCAATGAACACCAGCTGGGGGCATCCTGGCAAACGCTCAGCGAGGCACATTAAGTCTGCCTCACCCTGCATGGAACCTTTTGTTCAGCAGAATCCTGCCTGACCTGCATTCCCCCCTCCCTCTTACTCTCAGCACCTCCCACCACACTCAGTTCATCAGCAAACACCTAATGAGCCCGCATCAAGAAAACAGACCAGCTCAACCTGCCCGCTTCCCACCCCCACCCGGCTCTCGTGGGGGGTGGCGGTGTAGACGGCACTTTACAAGGACTGATGATGCTGCAAAGACCACAATAATGATAATTAACTTGCTGAATTTAGAAGATTATGCTGTTAATTAGTTGCAAAATAAAGATAAGTAATATAGTAGCAGATGGTTGAATAACACCCATGAGATGGAGGGTTATTACACTGATGAGGTTTCCATGGCAGAGATGAAATATGAATCTGACTGGCTTTTCCCTCATTCTGTGGACCATTCCAAGAGAATAATATCTTGTTTCTGCCAGAAGAGCTTCTGGAAGGGTATTACACGATGAACTAATTTGGTAGATAGATTGGTCTGGCAAAGGTAGCTGTTAGAATAATGCGGCCCTCTGTTTTCTCATGTAAATGTATTCTCTCTCACTTTGTTACTGTTGGAGAGGCTCATTCACTTTCACCTTGTTTGTTCAAGGTTTGATGCCAGAGGAATTGACCTGTAAATCTTGCACTCCAGGCTGTGTAGGAATAGTTCCTCTGAATAGGGGGTGCTTTGTGTTAAATGATCAGTGCAAGTGTTCAGTGTGGAAAATAAATGGGTAGAGCTTGTCATTTTCTTGAAATACCTACTCTACAATCATGGTAAAAAAAATAACAAGGAACACCCTCTTTCATTTCTTACTTTTACTTATCCAAAAAGTGACCATTCAGTGGTTTGTAGAGTCACAGCTGCAATAACTAGGAGTAATTGCATTTTGTGTGACCGTATGTGTCTCTAATATTGTTGTGGAGAAACAACTGTTCTTTACAATGTTGCTTTAACTCGGTGAGCTTTGTTGGCATCCTTTCATGCACAGCTATAGCATTACAAGTGAGTTCAGTGTTCAGACCTTAGCTAGCATTCTGGCTTTTCCTTGTTCAGCCATTAATCTGTAGATTGTGTTGCTGCTGTTGCAAGTATACAGTTTATTGTGAATCACACAAAGGGAAACTTTACCTGTTTCAGTCACTGGAAGCTTTTCAGCTCAGTCTTTTTTAATATATAATTGGGGATCATTAAATTTCTATTTGACACAATTGGCTGATTGATGGATGAGCCATGGGTTGTTTATTTCAAAATAAATTATTTTAAATGATTTTGCACCTGTGTGCAGCCCACAAGTGCAGGGGGAAGCTCCCTCCTGCAGCCTGTCATGATCTCCTTCTCTGCCACGCACACATTTCTCCTGCTGCATGAGCTTTGTGAAGGGTTAACCCTTTGCTGTCCAGATGCACCGATCGACTTTTGTCTTCCAACTTAAAATTCAAAGTATGTCACCTCGTAAAATTGTCATAATCACAAAATATAAAAGTGTTAAAAGTTCATTTTAATTATTTTAGAACTTCTATGTTCTGCTGTTTCAGTGTACAGTAGTCTCTCACTACTTCGCGGTTTGTTTGTCGCAGACTCGCTCTATCGCGGATTTTCAAAATAAGATTGGACATGACACACAATTGGCTGATAGATGGATGAGCTGCACGATTGGCATGACATTTTTATTTAAAATAAATTATTTAACATTGTTTAGCACCTCCTGCACCTTTGCACATCCCTTACTGCAGAATAAATTCCTGCTGCAGCTGATCAGCTGTTCACCGTGCAGAGCGGAGAAGGGGGCGTGGCCAAGAGCGCTTGCATGTGGCAAAGTGCAAATGAGGCAGGGAGCTGAAATCATGACATTCTGTGCTCTTTTAGAGCGTATAGAGTTTAGAAACATTGTTTAGAATATTGCAAGAGTGTGGGAAGGGCTTAAAACGCCATATATATATATATATATATATATATGATAAACTACTACTTGTACTACTTCGCAGATTTTTGGGACAGAGTACAGGACCCCCACCATAAACGAGGGACTACTGTATCCTTGTATTTCCTGCCTTAAAAAAACATTTAAATCAGTATTTCACACAGTTGTTCTTGTGACAAATTCTGTTTCCAGAAACTGAAAGCCACAACAATAAGCCAGCAGCTTCCTCAGGTAACTAATGGAGATGGCGTTGAAGTCCAAAGCAGTGCCGTGACCCACACTGCTAATCCTGCTTCTCCGACCCCGACTCCAGCCCCAACTGTGATCCTAACTGCGGCTCCTCAACTGCCTACAACCGAGGAACCCTCCACACATTCCCTTCAGCAGCCAGCCACCTCCACCACAGAAACACCTGTAAGTGCTCATGTCTACACTGCCTTTTTTAAATCAATGTCAAAATACCACAATACAGAAAACTGTTTTGTTTAATTGTACCTTTTGAATTATGGGTTTTGTTTTGATCTACCTGACAGTTTTTGATTTAATTCTCGTTTCCTCTGCATTATGTTTGTGTTTTTTCTTAATATTATTTTGACATTTTAGCACAGCTACTTCACTTAAGGAAATAACTTGTAGAATCTGAGCCTAAGTTGTTCTAGATTTAAATGTATGTATATGTGAATAGTCTGGTACCTGTTTAACCACCTTTCTTTTTTCATTCAAGCCGCTCTTCAGACCTAATGTTCTGTAATGCTACAGTTTTCTCTTCAGCAGCCATCAGTCATTATTCAGAATAGCGTCAACCTTCATGAAAACGTTGCATAAAACACATTACTGAGATTTTCACAAAACATTTATGTTATTTATTTCTCTAAACTGATACATAAAAATAAACTTAAATGTGTATTAGTGGCTTTTGGCCCACTTAATATCAACAGTTCACAACTGTTGTGTTGCGTTCTTAAACAGGCTTCCCCAGTGCCCCCTGCGCAAAACCCTCCCAGCACAGGGGGACGGCGCCGGAGAACCACAAGTGAAGACCCCGATGAGAAGAGACGCAAGTTCCTGGAGCGTAACAGGGCTGCAGCTTCTCGCTGTAGGCAGAAGAGAAAAGTGTGGGTCCAGTCTCTGGAGAAGAAGGCTGAAGACCTCAACACTATGAACGGACAGCTACAGGTAGTCCTAACATCTTTGTCTCACCACTTACAGAAAACAACCTGTTTTTAGTAGCTTTTTGCCATCAGTGTGACGGTTTGTGCCTTTGTGTGTGCTTTTATTTATTATTAGGTAATTTTAGCACAAACATGTTTTTCACACTTTTCCCTTCTGCGGTGATGAAGTCATTAAAGCCGATTAAGAAGAGCTGCTGTATGACAGCAGCAGAGTGTGAGCCCTTTACATCGATATGTCCCTGTCAATAAAGATGTATCCTCCAGATGTCAGCCGCACACAAGCGTGTCGTCGCTTCTGTCTCAGCAGTTTACTGAATGGCCTCAAAAATCTCCGAGGGAAAGGTGTCTTTTTGAACCTTCATTTCGCAAGAAGCAATTAGGATCTGATGCTGACAAGTTCGAAACAGTTCATGTGTCTGCTGTCTCTGTTGATAAGTGTGAGTCGGGGGTGCGGCACATCGGTGTTCCAGACAATTAAATGAGATGTGGTGTTTACTTGCTAACCATCCTCTTTTTTCTTTTCTTTTGTTTTTTTGGTGATGAAAGATGCGTATAATGGAGGAGGGGATACATAGCAGAGTGAAATAAATGGGTTCATGATCATATCTGGTTTAGAATCAAGTTATCACCACTTGTCATGGGTGCACTGCTTGCAGTTTTATTTAAAGGCAGATGAGACGGGGAGGATAGGTAAGAGCATTGGCTTATAAATAGAAAAAGAATCGCCGTTAACTACAATGAGGAGAACAACATGTGGTAAAGAATAAAAGTGTGCTTTATATGAGGGCATTAATCAGCAGCGCAGTTTTTGTAAAAACCCCCATGCTGACATGGCCCAGCTGATCAGCGAAACTGCCTCTAATGATGCACAATTATTTTAACATCATCCTTAACTGGCTTTTTAATGAGGTGTCAGTTCAGACAGCTCACAGGGCTTCTAGCATCGCCCACGGCCCATTTTCTCAGCTTCGATTAACTTGGAAACAAGTTTTAACTCTCCATTGTCCAGATTAGTTGTTCTAAATTAAAGGTGTGATGCAGTTTAAAGAGTTGTTTTTCCTTCTGAGATGTCAGATGGCAGATCTGCTGTCGACTTTGGATGCCACTTTTTGTGCAAATGTTTATGTCCATAATAAATTACAGGGGACATTTTAAAAGAACGCCTGTGTTTATATTGGTTTTAAATGGCAGCAGTCATGTAGGAGGCACAGTAAATACTGTGTTGGCTTCGTGTGATACATATGCTCCTTCCAGCTGTGTTTAAATCTGGCTTACAATAGCTCAGCCCTGCCAACACCAGCAAAACCAAACAGATGGAATTGAATAAATTGGCTGCTTTTAGACTAATAGATTAAGCCACCCGTAGTCCTTTAAAGAAGAAGAGAAGGAGCTTAAATCTGCCATTGGGTGTTTCGCAGGCCCCGGGCCACTCTAAATCCAGTTAAAGTCACCTTCAGCGTAATGTGGCTCTCTTTTTTACGACATGCAGAAATCCTTACCTCTCTTGGGAGCTGTAACGACACAGGAGTGTAAATCTCAGCAACATCTACGAAGTCGTACCGACAATTCAAGCAGCTCATCTCAGACAAATGCGCTGGTTGGTAGCCAGTGAAGGCTCATAATTATTATGCAGGACAGTGTATGTTTTACTTTACCCTGAAATAATATCTTCTTTTCTTTTTCATTTTCTTTGTTTCTAATAGGAGAAAATGTAAGTTTCTGTTATGCGCTATACGAAAAGTACAAATGGGCTCCTACAAATTTAGGCGTAATATCTCATTACTGGCTTTACGTTAGAAATGGAGCTGTTCATCCAGAGAAGACACAAAGCCACAATCAAGTTGTCTGTTTGTATGAGAGATTTACCGAAATGTTTTATTTGTGTTGGCATGAATAGTATGTGGTGACACCTAGTGGCAAAAGTTGCATATTGCAACAAAATTAAATCCCTACAACTGTGTGCACTTTAGTAGCTAAATACTGAAAAACTATTTAGAAAACTGTATCAGTCTCATTACAGTAAGGTTTGAATTAGTTAAATGAAAATTTACCTTTTTCATAGTTGCTCAAATCTGTGGATTTATGTTGTGTGAATAAAATCTTGTCTGAAGAACGACAATTTCTTTCTTTTGGTTGCACGTCTCCTCTTTCCTCAAGAATGAAGTCACCCTGCTGAGAAACGAAGTGGCTCAGCTGAAGCAGCTTCTTCTGGCTCATAAAGATTGCCCCGTAACCGCCATGCAGAAGAAGTCTGGTTATCACAGTGAGTAATGCTCCATTATTCTCTGCTTGAGGCTTCAAATGAAATGGGCTCAAGTTAAGGACACATCTTGCTTGAGGCCGAGAAAAACCCTCAATATTCTGGGTTATTTTCTTATTGTTTGTTTTTGTAAAACTTAGTAGAACTTCAAATTTTTTATTGCTGTTTTTGTTTTGATGCCAATGTTGTTTCACTTATCTAACAGCTGCCATATGAAACATTTTGTCTATTTTGATATCTTTAACATTTTTTACATTAAGTTTAATGTCTGTTTTACTCTCCAAGGACATCCAGAAACTGCATCACTGACCAACACAATCTTTTTTTCTTTGCATTTATTCATGATTAATATTTTTTTTATTTTAATATAGTCGGCTTATAGTGATAATCTGTACGGATTCTGCCATTTGGAGCCTCTTAATCTAAATTTCTTGTTGTCTGCCTGGTCTGCAGAGTGCTATCACATGGGCTCATTTAGAATCATACCACCTATTTTTCTTCGTTTTCCTCAGACTGGGGCTCTGTCATTTTGATTTTGTGGTCATAACTCACCAGAATGCACCACACCACTTCCACACTGTCCTCTAAACACCTCGCCTGACTTGTATTGACAGTGATTGCCACTGGAATGAGTCCATTAAAGCAGCAGTCTTGACAAGACTACAGAATATTCTCATTGTGAAGTGTCCGCCAAGCCACACCGTTCATTATGCATCTCTTATTGCCTACCGTCCCTCAGACACACTTCCCTGTGCATTATGGGACTGATGGTTTCCAGGCTGGAGCGTGCTGTCAGAGGCAGAGCTCATTTAGTTCAGTGCAGATGTTTTTTAACAGGATCCGTAGATGAATATGGTCATTTCCCCTCATACGTTTGCTCAAAATGTGTGCTGTCCTTTTCTGCAACTTTGTGAAGGATGACACTTGAAGAAGTTTTTCCCTCTCGCTTTGAAAAATAAAACCTCATCCGAGCACCTCAATTGATGTGTTAACATGGTAGGTTTTCTAAAAAGGGGGACAGAAAGCTAGTTTATGTGAGAGGACAAGTTGTTTATAGGAAGGATGAAACATCAAATTTTTGATGCGATATTCAGACAAAACTTTAGAGAACCTGATTTCAAACTGGATGTTTAAAGATTTTTGTTTCACTAACTTTACATTTAAGCAATTTTATTTTTTTTTTATAAACAAAAAGACCTCAGATTTTTTTTGAAGTGGGGGTCTGTGGAAAAGTTATAAACAATTAATATATTACCTGCTGTGGATGTTTATTTCAAAAAGGTAACTTATAAAGAAAAAGTTGAGTATCACTTACTGACATATTTTATCATCCATCCATCCATCCATCCATCCATCCATCCATCCATCCATCCATCCCTTGCGGCTCTGGCTGCAAGCTCTACAGCAGGGCTGTTCAACAAAATTGCTCCGGGGGGGGCACAGTTTCTCAACAGCTCAGGGTCCAGACATCCAAAGATTAAAATCATTATGTAAATAAACCAAAGTTTACAATTATGTTACCTTTTTAATTTGTTTATTTTATTGCATTAAATCATAAATGTGATAAACAGAACCCAAACCCAGAAACCCCCTGCTCTGGCAGTGGAGCGGGGAGGAACAGCAGCGTCCAGGCAAAATGAAGCTGTTTTGACCATTAAAGTGCATTTATTAAAGAAAAATTGAACTGAGGCACACCTTTGCTATATCCATCCATCCATCCATCCATCCATTATCTTTACCCGCTTATTCCATTTTGGGTCACGGGGGTCGCTGGTGCCCATGTCCAGCAATCACTGTGCGAGGGGCGGGGTACACCCTGGACGGGTCGCAAGTCCATCACAGGGCCCACCTTTGCTATAATGTCGAGCAAATAAATAATAGTTTTTAAGTGTTAATCTTGTTAAAGTCTTGTTAAAAGTCTTCCCTTGTGCACTCCCACAGCTGCCTTTTGGCAGCCAATCAATTTTTGGCACAACACCGGCCATGTTCCCCAGGGGTCAGCAGTGACGCATAATAAATGTGACTCATACTGCAAAGCGGATTATTTGTTTTTTTCCACTTTATAAGACGTATTTGATATTGTATTATTCATATTACTGATGCAACTTCTACGCCGGAGCGACTTGTACGGCAGAAAATACGGTAAATGCTCTTAACCTTTCTGCAGAATTCCCCTTCAGAATATGTGAACTATCACTTTAAGTTCATTATCGAGATTTGTTTGGTCAGGTTTGTTTTCCACTTGCTTGATCCAGATAACTGTTAACTTTATAAACATTTATCCATCAAATCTACTGTTGCTTTTTCATGTCTGTTATTGGTAATTTTACATATTGCCCTGGTAAAGTTTTTTCAACATTAACATGAAATACTTCACATATCCATCCATAATTAATATTTCTCTTTGGTTGTTTTTTTGTTGATATATTGTTTTTTCCATTTAAATAGTCGTAGAGTTCTATCATTTAGCACTTGACACTGCAGAAATAACCCCTAAGACTTGAGGATTTCCTGCTTGGAGTCACAGAAATAATCTGCGTTGCTAATTAGTAAAGCGTTCTATTTAACTCCGATCAGTCCACTTGTGTAAAGACTTCACTGAGCTCTCTGTTCTCTCAGAGTTACAAATCCCAACAGACTTCCCTGCCCTCCAGACCCTGTAATCCCCTTCATCGTCCTGCCCGGGCGTAGCAATGGCAGGTGGAAGGAAATTGCCCAGACTGCCCCACAAACAAGCCAGGACACGATTTCACTTGGCACACCGAGCTGTCCATCTGCTTACAGCGAACCTCCGCTTCTGAAACCAAGAGAGCGGAAAGAAGCTCTGCCCGTACGAGGAAACAGAAATTTAGAGTATTATGATAAATCAGCTGGCCACCACTTGGTGCTGTTAGGAGTAATGATGCTCACTTGAACATGGAACAAAACCACCAAGCTAATTTATTCCGAGGCTGACCTGAAACAGAACTTTGATCACTTACTGACGTTCGCTTAAACGCAAGAAACCAAAGGAAGCCTCTACTGTAATGACCTTTCTATTACTATTCATATATTTCCCCTCTTGTTTTAGATTTTTATTTTAAATTCTCAAAGACCCACTCATTAATTACAGCATGCCATAACAAGTGACTTCATATCATTAGCAATATTAATTATCATTATGCTCCTTATTCCTGTATGAAGCAGAGCATGAGAGTGGAGGCTTTTTTTTCCCCCATCAGGATCCAATTAATTCAATGCAACTGCCTAACAGCTGGTGGCATTTCGACTCCAAGTCTTTCCTACTCTCCAGTGTGAGCATCATTAAAATCAGGTGATGTAATCATCTGTCGCTGCAGTAGTTGGCAAGGTAACAAAAAACAAATGAGAACGCAGTTAGGGATGGGGAAACGCTGCCATATGCCCCAGAATGTAATGCACTCTTATGATGTGGGTTTAAATTGACATTGGAGCGTTAATTAAAGGAAGGGGTGCAAAAGTAGCATTATGGGGATTAATTGAATGGATTGCATACTCTACATGCTGATGGCTGTTTTACATGCATTTAGGCGTGTGTGGCACAGCTATCCCAAGCCTTCTGGGTTTTATCTGCTGAAATAAAATGCCAGGAAACACCAATTTGAGAGTATTTAAGCCAAACGGCCAAACGTTATTTGGTGTCTTTACAGTCTCCGACAAAGACGAAAGCTGCGAGGAGATGTCCGTCCCCAGCAGCCCGCAAAACGAGGCCATCCAGCACAGCTCCGTCAGCACCTCCAACGGGGTCAGCTCCTCCTCGTCAGTCCCGGCCATCCCCGCCCCGTCCAGCGCCGCCGCGTCAAATCAGAGCACAGAGGAGAGCCAGCCACGGAGGGGCGCCACCAAGTCCCAGCCTTCAGGGAGCTGATCGTCCACACTGGAGCCGCTGCCTCTTCAGTCTGTGACAAACAGAGGAAAAGGATTCTCTCTGTTCGGACCGTACTCTTTTTAATTTATCCTTGAATGTTTTCCGTTTGCTCTGTTTTGTACTTTATAGGCTTTTGAGCGCGGTGTTTTCTCTGCAACTGAAGAAGACAGAAGGACAGGCACTTTAGGTTTAAAATGTAAAACACGTGATTTTGAGCTGCTTTTGTATTTGTTTGACTTATTTATTGATCCTCTGTGTAATTTTAATTTAAAAGATGAAGCAGTAGGTTGTTACCAAAGTGTTCATTTGTTTTAAATTTTGTAAGCACTATCTTAAAAATGAAGGTACTTTTTTTGGAAGAAAAAAAAAATGTATTTGCTTTTATCATTTTGCACATATCTGAGAGAGGACGGGTTTACTTGTTGGAGAATTTGCTGATCACCGGCAGCTTTTTAGACGTCGGCTCAAACACTGGACATGTGACACAAGCACATGTCTGAATGTTTGAATTTGACGGTTCTCCTCCGTAGTGGCTGAATGTGTGAGCTCACCTCTGCATGTAAAGTAGACTCGTGGAGGTGAGCTGACTCGAGCTGTTATTTCATTAACATTCCATCTGTAATCTGATTGTCCCTGAAGCAGTGATTGTAGGATCGCAGTACTTTATTTTTTAATAACTCACTCATGGTGATGTTGACTGTTCAGTGCCATTAATTAATGTTTTGGAATTTAAAAAAAACTACTGTGCATTTTTTTTAAAGCAGATAAGTTTAAGTTTGCTGTTTTCTCAAACAACATGACGACTAGAGACTTCCTGCTTTTACTGTGTTTGCTTTAAAAGTGACTTTTTATGGCTTTAGCGTCTTAATGCAGAGCATTTAGGAACATTAGGCTGTTTTCATGATTGCAATTCTAGACATTTATAGAAAATGTAAAAAAAAAAAAAAACATTGATACATTTGTCTGTGATTTTTCTATGTACTTTGTTTTGATAAGAATTGTCTAAATTTAGAAGCTCGTCAACTCTATAAGGCAAGCAATTTAAAAACTGACCATCTGATCGGAATCATGCTAAATGAATATAGTGTGATGTGAACTGGAATCACATCATATACGTTCGTTGCACAACAAATAAAGAATTGTGAGCATTTAATCACATATAAGAAATAAATCCCACCTTTAAAGTCGGTTTGCCTTTTTCTCTTTAGTCTGTACTTGGCTTACTACTGTGTAGTTTTACAAACAGCTGACACATTGTTTTCTGAAAAATGTGATTTTTAAAGTTTTACTGTAATGTGCTAACTGCATGAGATAACGATTCTCTGCGAGAATTTGACGTTTTATTTAATAATGTCTTGACTAAGAAAAAAAATTGAACAAGTTATTACAACTTAAGTTGTGTAAGGTTTGGTAATTTGTTTTACCCAGGCTTTACTGTCACAAACTGGTTGTGAAATGTGTTGACAGTGTACTTGTAATGTGAAAGTTCTGTCTAAAATTTGAAACAAGTTGTTGTAATAAACCTTTTAATAACTCTTTAATAACCCATCTCGTTCTTTTCAGTTTTCTTCCATCATTAAAAGATGATAAGAAATAAGGAAATTGCTAATGTGTACTGAAACATGAAACGATTTAAATATAAATGAACAGGAGGCAAACCCAGTGAGCATCACGTGAAACCTAGTTAGAAACTGGTTTTAGGGACCAGATGTGAATAAATGTTTATTGTGGTGTGTGCTGCCACCTTGTGGAGAGTCAGGGGATCTTTTTGTTTTCTTGATGAAACGAGTCATTTAATGTTTAAATTTATTTTGTGAAAGTCTGTGTTTAATTACAGCACTTCTACAAAATATTTAACACAGATTTTACCTGATGTTTTTTTTTGTTTTGCAAAATCCCTTTAAAATAGCTGGTGTTATGTTTTTTTTTTTCTGTTCATCAAATAATAAATGTTCCCTGTATGTATATTCACAAAAGATTTGACCTCCCCAAATTCATGCAACAGCTAGTTGTTTCATATGAAGTTAATAATTTATCACATGTACTGTACATCTTTGCAAAAACTGAACTCATCATCTTTTTATAGAACATATTGTATTTAACATGTAGTTTTTCATGATCCATAAAGTCACATTAAGTGCCACACATTCACTATTAATTAGAAATACTTTCTAACTAATTAAAAAAAATGCACCCAAACATGACTGAAACGTGAAATATTTTCTCTCCCCATATCCCTGGAAGTGATCTGTCCATTCACAGGAAGGAGGAATAGATACACAATGGCAGGTCCAGAACCACGTTAAGATTGAAATAATATAAAATTAAAACTATTCAATTTCAACAATTCATTTAAGGATACGAGGTCAATTTGTCCTCCAGTAGTCTAAGCCTATAGCAGCTTAACAAGCCAACCCTAACTATAGGATTTATCAAAAAGGAAAGTCTTAAACTGCACAATGTGTCAGCCTTACAGAGAGAAACTGGAAGTTGTTTCCACAAGAGAGGAGCCTGATAACTGAATGATCTTCCTCCCATTCTGCTTATGGAAACTCTAGGAACCACAAGTAAACCTGCAGTCTGAGAGCAAAGTGCTCTGTTAGGAACATATGTAGCCTCCCTTATTGTTTGTTTGATCCATTCTCTTGCACAGCAAGGACCAGATGACTCGGTGTCTCAAGATTTTTCTGCATCCTGCATTAAGTTAGTAAATATCTGCCTTCTACTTGGAGTGATGTAACCCGACAGCAGATCCAATATAAAGCACGGGACTTCATAAAATGACCCTTAAACAAATGATCAAAGTTCATGCTCAATAATTTAGGTAGAAAATCCAACAAAGTTCATTCAGGTCACCTCAGATGACCTGACTGAACTTTGTTGCATGAAACAGATTCTTTAGGAGAATAACGACTATCTTACCATTGTTCATTATTGAACTGTCCCTTCATTGTCCATTTTTAAAACCCGTCTGAAAACTTATCTCTACTCATTGGTTTTCAACCCAACTGAGACTTGATTTTACTTTTTTTTTAATTATTATTATATTGACTTTTAGCTGTTTAACTCATCGTGTTATTGTGTTTTGAATTGTATTTTTAATTCATTGGTGTGTGCTTAGTTTTGTCACTTTATTTTTTGCTTTCTTCTATCTTATTTATTACTGATGTTCAGCACTTTGTTTCAGCTGTGGCTGGTGTTAAAGCACTTTCTAAATAAAGTTGATGGCGCAGTTGTCACACGCAGGTGTCCATGTCAAGTTTCAATTTAACCAGTTTACTTGGAGTCCAGAAACATCTATGGATCAGTTCGTACTAAAAAGGCTGAACCTCGTGGGAACAATGGAAGCATTGAAATATGAGCAGAATGTTGGAGATTTTGTTTTTCAGCATGAATACCTTCATGATGTTCACTACGGCACCACAATATTAGCAAATATACTTTCTGAAATACATGACCCCTCTCCTCGTTTGTCTCAATGATTGTTTTTGATTTTATATTATTATAGAGAGCATTAGATTTAATTATATTGGTTAAGTTTGCTTTGAATAAAATAAGTCATCTGTTTTTTGTAGTTCTTATTTAGGTTTATTTATTAGAAAAATAAAGTTTTGACTTGAACTTATGGATTTAGAGAAAAACTAGGTCCTGTATTAATGATTTGTTTGATCCAAAATTAACTGAGCCCCTACAGTTATTTTGACTAAATTGTCTTTTTATATTGATCTTATAACTGATGAGTACCTGATTAGTTAAAATATTTTTCGAATCATTCAGTTTGTAATTTTAATGACTTGAAAACGCAGAATGCAGCTTCAAAACATTTAAGGTGTTTTTTTTTTCCTTATGGGTTTTTTGTTACGTTTTATAACTCAGCAGCTACTTGTTCTCATAGAGGGGTCTTGGGATCAGAAACACTTGTTAACTAAACCAGACAGCAATGAGACTAGTTCAAATGCCTCGTTGTTTAAAAATTCACAAACAAGTTAACTTTATGCCTGTTTTCCTTTTCCTGTTGTTTTTCCCCCAGCACAGAATCGGAGTGCCCAGCAGGTGGAGATACATCCCAACACAATGAAGTGACTGCTTAGTGTTCAGCCATCCTCAGATTAAGGAACAACTGAATGTATGGATACACAACTGTCTACTTTTAAGATTAGGCTTAATTCTTTTTTTTATTTTTATAAACCCTAGGTATGATTGGCTTGGGTTTCCTGAGCTATCCTTATGCTGCTATAGGCTTAGACTGCTGGAGGACAAACTGACCACATTTCTTCACTCGGCTCTCTTTACTAACTGTACCTGTTTTATATTTGTGACTTTTTCTATCCTTAACATGTGCTTTTTATCTTTCTTCCAATAGTAGGTACACCTGTACCTACATCTGGACCTGACGTTCTGTGTTCATTTGTTTCTCCTTCCTGTTCCTCTCAAACCCAGCCGGTCAAAGCAGATGGCCGTTTGTCCTGAGCCTGGTTCTGCTGGAGGTTTCTTCCTGTTAAAAGGGAGTTTTTCCTTTCCACTGTTGCCTTTGTGCTCGCTCAGGATGGGAGACTGTGATGAAGTGAAAATTCAACGAGTCTTCTGGCTTCTTTCTTTAGAAAGATAATTTTACTAATTGACTTTTATTTGTATATGAGTGTTTTTGTTCAGTGCCCCGAGACAACTTCTGTAGTGATGTGGTTGCTTTATAAATAAACTGAATTGAAAACTGATTTGAATGATTAGCAGCTCAGGTGTGAAAGGAGAGCAGGACGTTAGAAAAAAAAATAAAAACAGGATGAAGTCATTTTAAATTTAATGCAGATTAAATGACCCAACAATTTAAGACTTTACGTAACTTCTTAAACAATGGTATTTAAAATAAGTGCAAAAACACAAAAGCAACATCAACCACAGACCAACAATGTCATCATTTATACCGTGGACAACAGTTTGGGAGAAATAACCCATTCATTTCTGTGTTTTCTGTGCAAGTGTTCCTGCCTAAACTCCAGAGGGCGGCACTCGGGAGCTCTGTGATGTTGCCTAACTAGGGCAGCGGTGATTGGCTGCTGATCACAGAGTAGAGAATTGTAAATGTTGAAATGTAGGTCACAGCATTGGCAAAAACCACCTTTTTTAATTTCATATTTACAACACTTGAAACACTCGTAGATTTGACATCACAGGGTGAGACAGAGTTTGATAAAGATTTGACTATTTCCCCACCACATGCAAACCATTAATTTTAGTTGTTTGATTAATTATT